TATGTACTTGCCCGTATGTACTTGCCCGTATGTACTTGCCCGTATGTACTTGCCCGTATGTACTTGCCCGTATGTACTTGTCCGTATGTACTTGCCCGTAGGTACTTGCCCATATGTAATTGCCCGTATTTCCTTGCCCGTATGTACTTGCCCGTACTTTCTTGCCCATATGTACTTGCCCGTATGTACTTACCCGTATTTCCTTGCCCGTATGTATTTGCCCGTATGTACTTACCCATATTTCCTTGCCCGTATGTACTTGCCCGTATGTACTTGCCCGGACTTTCTTGCCCATATGTACTTGCCCGTATGTACTTGCCCGTATGTACTTGCCCGTACTTCCTTGCCCGTATGTACTTGCCCGGACTTTCTTGCCCATATGTACTTGCCCGTATGTACTTGCCCGTATGTACTTGCCCGTATGTACTTGCCCGTACTTCCTTGCCTTGATGTTTCGAGTAATTGTTCCTTGTTATTAGATCATGAACCTCGGAGATCTGAACGTACTTGGCAAGTATAAGTATATACACGTGTTTGATTGGATGATGACAGTATTGAGACCACTTTTACAGCCTTGAAAAATCATTAGAAAGGTTGTAGAGTATAAAAAAATATTGTAGATGATAAGATTGTATAATGTTCGGTGTCCTGCTCTTGTACCCTTGAACTAGAATTTTTCATTGTTTTCACCATTGAAAGTTTTCCTCAACTTATTTCGTCAGTTAGAAACCCCTCATTTTTGGCCGATGTTAAATAATGTTAGTATCATTTCTAGTTTAGCAAAGCGTGAATGTTATTTTTTCCTTCAAATCGTTCGAATTTCCAACCCATTTAGGGACTTCTAGCTGTCATTTGATATCTCCTTTGATTCTGTCGCGGTATTTCTTGCTAGCTGTTACTTATTACCCAATCAAAGTTGTGATAGTTCTTGTCAATAATATTAGTAATAGTAATATTGCTAAATGGTCATGTAAACATGAGCAAATAACAAGAACTGTACAGAGGGTGCTCTTGATTCCTTATTACGTACATAAATAAAGCGGTAATCTCGCTAAGTGATGGCGTGAAGAAATAAATGTGTAAATTTACTATTACCTGTATGAAATTAAAACGGAATTCTAGAATAGTACGTTTGGGACGATAAATTAATGATAAATGCTGCATGTAGCTGTATATTGTAAACGCTATGAGTATAATTGCCAGCATTACCGGATTCCTTCACCTTACATTTTCTACCTACATGAACCCTCCACAATGCTATTATTACCAAAAGGTCTGGTTATTGGCATAGGCATCGGTAGACGAAAAGTTGAATTCGTATCGTCCTGGAATTATTACTTGATTGACAATTAGGAGGCACCTACGTAGACTTATTTCGAATGCGTTGAAATTTGTGCAGGTGTCGCGAGCGGAGCAGGACGAGTTTGCTATGCGCACTCACAGCCTCGCCAAAGCTGCAGAGGTGGCAGGCAACCTCAGCGACGTCGTCCCGTACAAGGTAACTTGAGTAGAACTTGTGCTATAATCGTAAGCGACGTCGTGCCTTACAAGGTAACTTGAGTAGAACTTGTGCTATAATCGGAAGCGACGTCGTGCCTTACAAGGTAACTTCAGTAGAACTTGTGCTATAATCGTAAGCGACGTCGTGCCTTACAAGGTAACTTCAGTAGAACTTGTGCTATAATCGTAAGCGATGTCGTCCCGTACAAGGTAACTTCAGTGGAACTTGTAGGGGAGGGGGTGATAGGTGTATTTCCAGGCACTAATGCCACTGGTACGTTCCACGAAAATCACTGGCTCGCTGACCCGCCAGAACCATTTTATTGCATTACACTACACCCTGGACAAGCTAGGTACTCATTTATCAACCAGAGTTGGATGAATGGCTGAGTTGACCATAAGCTGAGCTTCCCGGTAGAACTTGTCCTCAGTGGGACTCGAGCCCGGGAGCTGGGTGCGAGAGTCTCTCACCACTGCACCACCACAGCTCTAGCCATCTCTTGTTTCTAGCGCTGCTGTGTAGTGCAAGTAACTGGGTGTTTTTCTGTGGCCTGACAGTGCCTTCCCTCTTCTTCCCGTCAGGTGCCGGGTGTGGCCAAGACAGTGACCACCGATAACGGCATTCGCGTGTCCACCCCTGAGCAGATGGCCAAACTCAAGCCCGCGTTCATCAAACCGCACGGCAGCGTCACCGCCGCAAACTCCAGCTACCTCGTACGACCGTCTAGCCTTAATGCCTGCCAAGGGGCTTCATTACATCTCTTTTTGTTTTTCTCTTTGATTTTTTCTCAATTCTCTTTTTTCCAAATTCGATCTCATTTTTTTGTCTATTTGCTTGTTATGATTCTCCATTCTATCCCCCTTTTTATTATGAAATCAATGATCTCATTTGCTCTGCTCTCAATTCGGATTTCCTTTCAATTTTCCCTTTCAGCTTAGCTTTGACTCCAATGATTATCACTGTTATCGGTTACACCATTTATTAAATTGACTCCCCTGATTATCACTGTTATCGGCTACACCATTTCTTAAATTGACTCCCCTGATTATCACTGTCATCGGTTACACCATTCCTTAAATTGACTCCCCTGATTATCACTGTCATCGGTTACAGTTACACCTTTTCTTACCTTTGTACGCGTGGTCATCAGAATGACGGCGACATCAGCCATCAGCTCCATCAATGTCATACTTATTGTCATACCCATATTATGATACTAGGGTGTCTTTATATTACAAAACTCGGCAGTATTAATGAAAATATGAAAACAGTGGTATAAAATATTAAGAAACAGCTACATTTATCAATGTTTGTGTTGCAGTTTTATTGGAGAAACAACAGTGTGATAGAATCCAAAAAGTGATGTTTAATCATTTAGTGTTTAGTCAAAAATAGTTAGGTAAAATTTTGAGTTTAGTTCCTTAACGAAGTTTAATTATCGAATGTTTCAGACGGATGGAGCGTCGGCTTGCCTCATCTGCACTGAAGAGAAGGCCAAGCAGATGGGCTGGAAGCCCAAGGCTTACCTCCGGGACTTCACGTACGTCTCTCAAGATCCCAAGGACCAGCTTCTGCTCGGCCCGACCTACGCAACCCCTAAGGTGCGTTCTAAGTTTTTCTCTTGCAAAACGCTCATCAAGCTCAATAAATCATCGTAACTCCTAAGGTGCGTTCCAAGTTTTTCTCCTACAAAAAACGCTCATCAAGATCTATAAATCATCGTAGCTCCTAAGGTGCGTTCCAAAATTTTCTCTTACAAAACGCTCATCAAGATCAATAAATCATCGTAACTCCTAAGGTGCGTTCTAAGTTTTTCTCTTACAAAAGGCTCATCAAGCTCAATAAATCGAACTTTTTGCATTGTGATTAAGTCCAAAAAGCACTGCCTTACCCCGATGTATGATATTCGGGGATTCTATCTTAATTGTCTGATTTAAAATGAGTCATTATAGTAGGTTTTGGTTTGAGGGTCGAAATTTCCTGTAACGAATTAACGCCATGCCTAAAGAAACAACAGTACCGTACTTGCTAGCTCTGGTAATGAATATTTCGATCTTACTTCAAGTATTAACTTCAGAAATGTCCAACGAATGTATTTTTAATTACTTGAAACACAATTCTCAAGGTGTTGGATCAAGCTGGCTTGAAGATGTCTGACATTGACGTGTTCGAGTTCCACGAGGCCTTCGCTGGACAAATCCTTGCAAACTTCAAGGCCATGGATAGCGATTATTTCTGCACCAACTACCTGAAGAGGAAGGAAAAGCCCGGCGCTCCACCCTTGGAGAAATTCAATAACTGGGGAGGGTCTGTTTCCATCGGACATCCTTTCGGTGCCACTGGTGAGATTGCCAATTTCAACCGAGGAAACTTTCAGTATCAATCATAATCCTACACGTTTACATTTTAATTGTGCATTTTTCTAGACTACACAAATTAAACAGGAGACTAGTATCCTTAGTATTTGCTTCAGACGTAGCAGTCCCAGGCCACGATGTATCAAAATCAATACGCAGGAAGAATGGCATAAACAGACTTGGAAGAAGGCATAAACAGACTTGCAGCGAATAACTTGGTTATAATTAGTACAATGTTTTGAGTAGATAACTTCATAAATTCTTGTCTACTGCTGACACCTTTTGAATTCTCGTTTTAAATTAGTATATTGAACTGCTTTAGAGCTTGCGTGGAAACCGTTAAGTCATTCTGCTTTCCAATGTACAAGAACATTTATTTAAAAATGTACGTGTCTGGAATCATCGAAGTTTGCTACTATTGACCTTGAAGGGTTCTTACGCCAATGCGGTTCGACTTCAGCTTCTTTTTCGTTTACTTTAAAAATTTGCTGCTACTTTACACAATTAAAATTAACTCGTGTTTACATGGAACATGAATGGGTTCTGCAGCTTTCTTTTTAATTATTTAAATATTAGTTTGCTGTACTCAACTTTGTTGAGCGTCATGTGCATTAAAAATGCAGACGAAACTCGGTTATAATACTGGAAGTGGCGCTGCTACCAAATTTAGCAGCTGTTAGGAGTTGCGAAATTTTTTTTTCACAAAATTTTGTTTGCCTATTAGTTCGAATCCATTTAATAAGGAGGAATTGTAAGAGGCTATTTTTTACTGAATTTTTTCTGTATTTGCAGGCGTGCGTTTGCTGATGCACTCGGCCAACCGCCTGATCAAGGAAGACGGACAGTACGCATTGATCGCTGCCTGCGCTGCTGGAGGCCAGGGCGTGGGCATGATAGTGGAGCGATACCCCGGCGCTACCGTTTAACTTCACAATTACACACCCAACAGCCAAATTCTCCTTCCTATGTACATTATTTTAACTCTGTTGACCAACTCATTTATTGTTCACCGGACCTGAGCTCGTTACTTTGATGTCTAAATTTATCTAGTGGCGGTGCACATTAGACTCGCGCGTTTGTTTGTATGTGCTATCGCGCTTGAGGTGTCGAGCTCTGTTGGTCCAGAACGCGTGACAGACCAGCACGCAATTCTGTGTGTCGGACTTTGAGGGTCTGATCAGACTTCGTCTGGTTGCGTTAGCCTTCACTTGTCGACAAGCTCGTGTTTCGGAAACCCCTTCCTGTGGTGTGAATGTTGATTTTTCAACTCTATCCTTCATCTTTTGTTGATTTTCAACACTATAATCCATCTTTTTTAGATCAACCATTGTCTGCAAAGGAAAGAATGACTCGAAACTTTTCTCTGTAAAAGTGTTCTCTTGAATTTACGTTGCAAATATTTCTTGAAAAGCTTCGATTGCGATTGGTATTTTTATGACCGCTCTGGTTTTCTTGAACACAATTTATTTCTCTGAGTCTTCATTCGAATTTATGTACTACACCAGCACCAGAGATTTAATTTCGTGTGAACGCATTTTCTTAATAGTGAGTTCAAAAACAGTAAATCTATGTTTTGTACTTATAGCTTTAATTAAGTTCAAATAATTTACTGCTTGAATGATATATAGGTTATATACATGCCTCTCAATGCAAATGTAAATTAACGGTGACATGCTCGTAGGTATAGAGCTAACACTGCACTCACAAGTCGAGTTTCGTGCCCTAATTTCTTCCTATTTTAAGAGGAGTTTGTCAAACGAGTCCATATATAGTCCATAATCTTCATTTTCAACTTGCTGTCGGGTTTTTCTTTATGTATTGTACAATAAATCGTGCTTTTCGCCTAATAAAGAGTTATATTGGTATTGTAGGATTTTATTTCTTATTATTGGACTAGGGTCAGTGGTTTCAAAACGCGTCAGTAATAATTTGTTCGTATAGTTACGTGCTTATTTATCAAAGATCCCTTAAAGACCGTGTGATTTTATTTAGTATAAATCCGACTAGAAAGTGGTTATCTATCTTATCAATGTAGAGATTTGTCACGATTAACTTTTGACTTAAATTTCAACCGGACACTAGGAAACCGTCGAACTTGGAAAACTTATTTTTTGCTTTGGCGGGCGGACGTAGAAATAACTAGAAATTTGTTTGAAGCTAGCACAGAAAAGTATGGGTATTCATAGGATTTTTGCTCTATTAAGCATTTAGCATACTGAAAGCGCCAAACACAATTGAAGAATTGAACATATCGGGTCATTACCCCATGTTCATTTGACATTACATAAAGTTGAACATCTTTGTTCGCATTTAAAGGTGGCTGGAACGGAAGTGTCGCCAGGCTCTGTCTTCGTCCCGGTTTTTTCTTGCTTCTCACGTGGCTTGCTTGACGCAAACTACTTCGACGTAAGTTTGCTTTTGACTGGGAGGACTATATACTGTGAGTATTCGTTTTGGCGTTCGCTGTATTCACCCTCGAGCTGACTGTAGACGTGCGTCACTTTTTCAAGACCCAAGCGACTGCTCAACCTACGGTCAGCTGCTGCTGCCCTTGATCCCTTGATCCATCCGTCTGTGAGAGAGTTCATCAACTCATCTTGCTCTCCCCCAAGCCTCGCATGTCTTAACGTGGATGCCATGTCGGTCGAAATAGGCGTCCTGCTGCCACCTATCAAGCAGTGCACGACAACGGTGTGTTCGTCATCACTGGCGATAGGCCGTTGCTACGGCGGTAATCATTTGCGCTGAACCCTACGTCTGCGAATGCTGCTGCTGAGCATCGGCTTATGTCGAACGATAGGCCTCAAAAACTGCTTAGCGTTCGTCGTGAACACCAATGTGTGCAGTCGTATCACCGGTTATCGTTCGGCTGCCTTAACATCCATTTGCTGAATAACAAAGTTGACGAGTTCTTTCACATTTGTCGCTCGCGCTCACTAGATGTCGTCTTCCTGACCGAGACCTGACTCGGTTTGCATCGCGTGTCTTCGCGCTGAAGAACTCTAGGTAATCGAGCGCGCGCGGCCCCGCATGTAACCCGACATCCTGGCGACGAATTACGGTGTAGTAGTTACCGTCACCAGCAGGGGCGTGCACCTTACCAATCTTGACATCGGCGCCTGACCCACAACCTTTGAGCTGCTATGTTCTACGATCACCTGCTCCTAATTAACGTGCGTTTATGTCACCATCTATCATACCTGATCGGTTTCTATGGCGCGTGAGATTTTGTTGAATTGAGCGATGTGTCCACCAGACTTGTGACTTTAACCGATCATGTTCTTATCACCGGCGATATAGACGTTCGACTGGATCGCGTCGACAACCCATCGGCACGCCAGTTGAACGATCTGCTGTCGTCCATCTTCGGCATGGTTTGTCACGTGACCTTGCCGACGCACGACATGGGCGGACTGCTGGACGTTGTCATCACGCGTGCCATATTCAATTTCTTGTTTATCTCTTATTTGCTTATAACTTATTTGCTTGTAAGATGAGTAATGGGAATATGAGTAGTATGAAAAAGTCTTTATACGAGAGTAATGTGAACAACTCACCCACATGGCCGAGTTAGGACCGACTTTTTTTAAACTGATCAATTACGCATCTGTCAAATATATAACACACTACCTAAGTGAGCACGCGGGATAAGACACGAGCTAAAAAGTTATTCATCATAACAGTGCTAGCACTTATTATTGTCGGAAAGTTCAAATGAACATTGACATGAACATATTATGTATTTCTAAAATAATTTCCACATTTTTGAAACCGCGTATTTTTCATTGCACTCTCTTAGGTGCGTTTGCCGCCCATCTAACGAATAAAAGACCCACACCGCCTGCTGTAATTTATGCATGCCCCAAAGGGTCGGACTATCAGTATCGATCACGTTGAGAGCCACTCGTCGACGGTTATATAACCTTATAGCGAGTTTAGGACTTCCTAGTCTACGGTAACCCCGATGCGCCGCCTTCGTCGTCCTCCGTCTCCTAGTCCTCGGCCGTCCACGGTCACTCGTCGTCCTCCGTCTCCGAGTCGTCGCTAGGCAGGTCACCCCGCCCTAGGGTCCCGGATGTAACGTTGGACGTGTTCCGTCTATCTACCCTCTTTTGGGTCTGCTGATGCAAAAGGCAGCTGTTTACCAATTGCTGAGGGTAGTTTCCCATAACTGGACAATCCGGGATCTTTCTCAACCACTTGTCCAGTCGTCTCTTGAATGTCGCAAGGATAAACTCTCCTCCCAACATAAGGAAGGCGTTAAAAAGCCTCGGTCCGGCCACGGACAGTGATCCCTCACGAAGAGTCTGTACTCTGGCCGCAGCGCGGTTTTAAAATTGGAGAATCCTGCAAAGTCGATATAGTTGAATCGACCGGGCTCCATTTACTATTACTATTTAACTATTGTATTGTATTGTACTCCATATACTATTTACATTTACGACTGTAAATGGAGCTCATTCGAATTTAATCGAGCGGGCTCATTAGTTGAATTGAATCGACTCCATTTACTCAAAAAGTCATTTAATTTAGACTAATATTTAGTACCCTAAGAGTAGGCGAAGAAATAACGGACGTGTTGTTTATTGCATTAGACTCTTGCAATATGAAAAAATTTGCTTAAAAAAATTTATTTCTTGTATATGATCATGTTCCCGAATCTGTAGTTTTCGTTTTTTGTAAAACATCGGTTGATTCAAGATACTATTGACAAAAAAAAATTGTATGACTTATATAGACGTTCATTTCCAGTTCATTGGACGCCATTATTTTACAATACAAATGTCAGCTGTCTTCATATCATTGCCGCTTATATGGCACATTTCAACTCAATCGGACGCTTGCAGGTCACTAAACCAGAATCTACCAGAATTTTATCACTATTGAATAGAAAATTAATATTGTTAATGTGATGAGTATGTTAGCATTGCCAAGACACGAATTGTAAGCAAAGAAACTGAACGCCTTCTCGGTTGAAAATTAAGAAAATCATACTAAGTGTTGTTCTGCATGTACTAAGTTTCTCTACAGTTGCAATCAACAATTAAGTTCAAGAACATCGGCTGCTAATGAAATAAATTGTCTGTTTTGGTTCAAACGTTCCGATTCTCTTCATTTAGTTTACAATACTACAACGTAATAACGAAATTAAAGGCACAACTTCTTGTGCCTTTAACTTCGTTATTACGTCGCGGTGTTGAAAAGTAAATGAAGAAAATAGGAGCGTTTGAATCAAAACAGACAATTTATTTCATCAGCAGCCGACGTTCTTTTGAACTTAATCAAAACAGACAAAACAAAACAACCGTCAGTTTGTCTTCGTGCTATCCGGTTTTGGCGTCCATTACCCTGCGATGATAACATTGATCTGGAGTCTGAGCGCCTCGGGCCTGCAAACTGGATTGTCCAGCTCGAGCCTTCACAGTCGTACTGCGTTCTCGTTCTTGATGATTTTACTTCGTCCTTTATTAAGAGACAATTTTTTGACGAGTAATTTGCTAAATTCTTGGTTTTAAAGGCTTTAACTTGTTTCTTTTAAATACTTGGTTATTCGAAGGGAATAATTTAATGAAGCATTTAAATATTATTAAAAAGATAGTTAATATAATAATAGTTAAAACATTAACGGTTATCACTCGTAATCTTGTAAGTGAGCTTCGCGTCAATGTTTAATTGATAAAAATTATTATTACAAGCAATTTTTTAAAGTACGAGTACCCACAGTGCATTCTATTTCAGATGCGTTTTTTGCTGCGTCGGGAACTGTTTCAGAAGTAATTCTTATTTAAAATTTCTGTTTTCTTCAAAGAAGGCTGATTTTGAAATGTCAAATGAGGTTGCAAAATCTTCCAAAGCGCTAAATATTTCTGGATTCCAATGAAAAAGAAGTTGAATATGCTTTCGTTGCCAACATCGAGAAAAAATATACAAGCTATTTTTGTGGGCTCGCAATGTATTTACTATGAAAAAGTTGGTGAAATACACAACAAAATTTGTTATTTATCTTGAATACATTTGAATTAAATCGAGATTTTGAAGGAACTTAAAAGGTACAATGTTGTGCGAGAAAAAAACTGCCTTTGATGATTCTTCGAAGGTTGTTCGTCAGAAAAGGACATTTTGTTTACATTTTCAATTCATGATACACATTCATTCATATTTCAATACTTGCTAACTAACATCAGGTCAGGTTAAGTAGGAAGTAAAATCAAGTTTATCCAAACTGATTAAGGGGATTGTGAGGATTGTAAGGGCCGACAACAGGCAACACCCCTCCTCCACCGAAGCCACCAAAGCCACCACCAAACTGCTGGTTAGCAAGCGCCTGTTGCTGTGGGCTAGTGCAGCAGTAGTATAGTCTAGTGTGATGGCTGCGACACCAGTAGTTCAGGCAGTTGAACTGCCCGACGGTCGGCTGGTTCGGATAAAGATGGTTCGTGAAGCCAGGCACGATATTCGGGTAGAACTGAGGCTGGTAGAACTGTGCCATCGTCCCAACACAGAGTGCGACCAGAACCAAGGACAGTGCTAATTTAAACGCCATCTGAAGAGTAAAATGGAATAGGTTCCGAATAAATGATAATCATTCATAATATCTTTCAAATACACAAAAAGATAGGTTTTTCAATCTTATCCGAGTAATTTCTAAATTGATTTATTTATTTGATTCTCGATAGCTTGCGAACTTGTCCTTGTTATTCTTAGTGTCTATGTAACGCAAGCTCAGCCAACGTCTGTTTCGAATCCAATTACACAATTAAAGTCATAACACGCATAAACATGAAGTGATATAATAATAATTGACGAAATTCCCTTGCATTGTCATTGACATTGAAATTTATAATTATATAATAATATAATTATT